TATGCCAGATAAAATGTCAGATAGAATGACACAAGATATGCCAGATAGAATCCCAGAAGATTTGCCAGATAATATGCCAGAAGATTCATCTCAAAATACCCCGAGCAATTTTTAATGATAAAATATGAAGTAATATGAAATAATATGAAAATCACTACTATTCTTGCTGCTATTATATACTCTATTACTACTATTAATTCGTATTAATATTGCTGCCACTAGTACTACTAGTACTACTAGTACTACTAGTACTACTAGTACTACTAGTACTACTAGTACTACTAGCACTACTAGCACTACTATTTGGTACTATCTTGTGCTACCTTATTCTGTTTCTATTCATTTTTATACTATCTTCTGCTGTTCCCGGTTTGTTTGGATCATGCACCATCTGCAAGATTGCCTGCAATATTGTTGCTGATGCTGTTTGCATCTGCTTGCTAGATTTCATAAGCGCTTACCTTAAGGTCACGGTCTTCATGTGTTTTTGCAGAAATTTGGAAAACTCCCCTGCAGCTACTTATATTTTTCATACCAGGCAATCCCAGGCAAAGTGCGCAATGTAACATATTGTAACATTGGATCTGACATTTTCTTGCATGATCTTGCATCAACTTACATGTTTCACGCTTAAATAGGGAGCATCAAGAACCACTGGAAACCATAAGAAACTTCAAGAAACTATATATTATATAACTATCAAAGGAACTTGTCAATATTTGTGAATGCCGGTGGTGAACCCATACCAATCTTAGTCATCTACAGTGATCTAGGTGCCCCATGTCGTTCTCAGCAGATGGTTTTTGAGGTGCAGTGCCAGCCTAGGCAGGCAGAAAAATGTTTTTGCAAACTTTCTGCCAGCGGCACCTTCTGCTACATAACTTTCTGCTAGCGGAGCCTTCTGCTACATATATTTCTGCTAGGGGAGCCTTCTGCTAGATAACTTTCTGCTAGCGGAGGCTTCTGCTACATAACTTTCTGCTAGGGGAGCCTTCTGCTACATAACTTTCTGCTAGCGGAGCCTTCTGCTACATATATTTCTGCTAGGGGAGCCTTCTGCTAGATAACTTTCTGCTAGCGGAGGCTTCTGCTACATAACTTTCTGCTAGGGGAGCCTTCTGCTACATAACTTTCTGCTAGGGGAGCCTTCTGCTACATAACTTTGTGCTAAGGGGAAGCCTTCTGCCACATTTTCTGCTCCTTCAGGTGCAGTGCCAGCCTAGGCAGGCAGAAACATGGTTTGCAAGATATGTCACATTATGATACAATAGCATACAATATGTCACCTTGTGACATAATGTGGGAATCAGATGGCGTAAGATAGAATAAGAACAAGAAGTAGTAATTAAAATGTAAGTTTGACTGTGTGGACATAGAGATCTCCTGCAAAACACCATCATTTTCAACACCTAAAGCAGCCTAGCTTACATTTTCAAAAAACGCCGCCATTCACCAGGCAATTCCAGGCAAACTGCACAATGATACGCACATATGCAATCACATGCACAAAAAATGAACATAGAATATCATCCTAGCCATCCAGAATCTACAGTGATCTAGGTGCCCCACATCGTTCACAGCAGATGCTCCCTCAGGTGCACTGCCAGCCTAGGCAAGCAGCAAAATGCTTTGCAAGATAGGCCACATTATGATACAATAATATACAACCTGTCACCTTATGATGCCTTATGACATAATGTGGGAATAAGATTGAATAAGAAGTAGTAATTAAAATGTAAGTTTGACTTTGTGGACATGGGCATCCTCTGGAAAACACCATCATTTTCAACACCTAAAGTAATCTAGCTTACATTTTTCAAGAAACTCTACCACTCACCAGGCAATTCCAGGCAAAGTGCGCAATGATGCGCACATATGCACAAAAAATGACATAACATATCATGAAATGACCAAAGGTGATCTCATCTATGCGACGCAAACATGTAAGCTGAAAGCAATAGGGGGGCCAGAATCCCTGCAGCCCACAACACTATCTCAAACACCTTCCCCCAAACAGCTTACTATATAGGCATTATATGGTAATATAATGTAACATCGGATCTTGCTTTTCCTTGCATGATCTTGCATCAACTTACATCTTTCACGCATAGATAGGAAGCATCAAGAAACCACTGGAAACCATAAGAAACTTCAAGAAACTGTATAACCACCAAATGAACTTGTCAATATTTGTGAATGTCGGTGAACCAATACCAATCTTAGTCATCTACAGTGATCTAGGTGCCCCATGTCGTTCTCAGCAGATGCTCCTTCAGGTGCAGTGCCAGCCTAGGCAGGCAGAAAAATGTTTTTGCAAACTTTCTGCCAGCGGCACCTTCTGCTACATAACTTTCTGCTCGCGGAGCCTTCTGCTACATATATTTCTGCTAGGGGAGCCTTCTGCTAGATAACTTTCTGCTAGCGGAGGCTTCTGCTACATAACTTTCTGCTAGGGGAGCCTTCTGCTACATAACTTTCTGCTAGGGGAGCCTTCTGCTACATAACTTTGTGCTAAGGGGAAGCCTTCTGCCACATTTTCTGCTCCTTCAGGTGCAGTGCCAGCCTAGGCAGGCAGAAACATGGTTTGCAAGATATGTCACATTATGATACAATAGCATACAATATGTCACCTTGTGACATAATGTGGGAATCAGATGGCGTAAGATAGAATAAGAACAAGAAGTAGTAATTAAAATGTAAGTTTGACTGTGTGGACATGGAGGTCTCCTGCAAAACACCATCATTTTCAACACCTAAAGCAGCCTAGCTTACATTTTCAAAAAACGCCGCCATTCACCAGGCAATTCCAGGCAAACTGCACAATGATACGCACATATGCAATCACATGCACAAAAAATGAACATAGAATATCATCCTAGCCATCCAGAATCTACAGTGATCTAGGTGCCCCACATCGTTCACAGATATTGCTCCCTCAGGTGCAGTGCCAGCCTAGGCAAGCAGTAAAATGCTTTGCAAGATATGCTACATTATGATCCAATAATATACAATATGGCACCTTATGGCATAATGTGGGAATAAGATTGAACAAGAAGTAGTAATTAAAATGTAAGTTTGACTGTGTGGACATGGAGATCTCCTGCAAAACACCATCATTTTCAACACCTAAAGTAATCTAGCTTACATTTTTCAAGAAACACTACCACTCACCAGGCAATTCCAGGCAAAGTGCACGATGATGCGCACATATGCACAAAAAATGACATAACATATCATGAAATGACCAAAGGTGATCTCATCTATACGACGCAAACATGTAAGCTGAAAGCAATAGGGGGGCCAGAATCCCTGCAGCCCACAACACTATCTCAAACACCCTCCCCCAAACAGCTTACTATATAGGCATTATATGGTAATATAATGTAACATCGCATCTTACATTTTCTTGCATGATCCTGCATCAACTTACATCTTTCACGCATAGATAGGAAGCATCAAGAAACCACTGGAAACCATAAGAAACTTCAAGAAACTGTATAACCACCAAATGAACTTGTCAATATTTTTTTGAATGTCGGTGAACCCATGCCAATCCTAGTTATCTACACTGATCTGGTGTCCCACGTCGTTTTCAGCAAATTCTCCCTCTCGTGCACTTCCACCCTACGCAACCACTAAAATGCTTTGCAAGATATGCCACATTATGATACAATAATAAACAATATGTCACCTTATGGCATAATGTGAGAATAAGATTGAACAAGAAGTAGAAATTAAAATGTAAATTTGACTGTGTGGACATGGGCATCCTCTGGAAAACACCATCATTTTCAACACCTAAAGTCATCTAGCTCACATTTTTCAAACCACCGCCATTCACACCTTTCAATCCCAGGCAAACTGCACAAATGTAAGCTGAAAGCAATGGGGGGGGCAGAATCCATGCAGCCCACCACTATCTCAAACACCCTCCCCCAAACTGCTCACCATATATATATATAATATATATAATATATATAGTCGTCCCGGAATAGATGGAAAAGCGTTTCGAGAAATCCCCCCCCTCCGAAACGATCTAGATTTCGGGCAAGCTTTTCTCGAAACGGGATCTAGATTTTCAATCCCGACTTTCCCGAAGGTACCCCATCGACCGTGTGGCATCAAAACCATGGAAAAAATGAGGGTACAATAGGTGGAAATCTACCTGAAACCTGCAAAAAGTCACCAAACAACTCCAAATCATTGCAGAGAAGGACCAGGGAAGGATGAAACTAGGGATAAAAGTCCTTGTTATGATTCAAACTCTATTTGGTACATCATCAGATTCCAATGGGAAACCAATTAAAACCTAGATGATCTGATTGAATTTGCCTCCGGATCTAATAGTTTACCAAGTGGATGTGAGGTAAAGCCTGATTTCCCAATGCCAATTTCATATTTCCCCACTAAATTTGAGGCTGGTTTGAATTTCCATCTATTGAATCCCCCAGCTATATAATGGATTTCCCAGCACATCTTTTACTTTTACCAGTAGATTTTGAGGTTGGACTGGATTTCCATGTATTGTATCCCCCAACTAATTACTGGTTTTGCCAGTATCTGATCATCACCTGCAATTTGGTCCACGCACTGAAGACCTTGTTGCCCGCGATGCAGTCCGGGCACCGGCTCCAAGAGTCACCAGAGCGGCAGTTTCAATACAGAGAGAGATATATATATAATACATATGTATATAGATACGTGCATCGTTTGCATATCCCATATCAACACACCACGCATCACACAAATTACACCTTTTTATTGAATATGCCTTGTATGTACTTGTCAGTCGCCGCGTGGCTGGGGGCCAAACCCTGAATGTCCTCGAACAAGTTATGCAGTTGCAAACACATACAGCTATTATAAATATTATATATACCGGGACGACTATACTATAAATGGGCAGCCAATCAGCCAATCCTTATATATGTATACCCAGTTTGAACATAATATATATATATCTCCTTATCAGCCAAACTACGCCTGTGGGGTTCCTGGCGATGGCATCAGAGCAGAGAATTGAGTATGTTCTCAAGCACGTGGCTTTGGGGTCAGACCACTACGCGCTGCTCCATGGCAACATTTTGGCCAGGCCGAACAAATCATAACAATATCCCTCACAGATTTCAATCAACACAGTATTTTTGCCCTTTTGGCAGTGGTTCAAGAGGATTTTTGAAACTCACCGCCAACCTCAATAGTTTGGCTTTTCGAAAAGGGAGTGCCTTAAACCAAGGTTGGAAGCTGCTTGCCCTTCTAAGCTACCACAGTGTCCAGTTGAACGTGTTCGACGGCTTCTTGTTGTTACGAACGGGACTGCCGAGCACATCAAGGGCCTCTACAAGAACATTGTGCGGATCATACACCCTGACAAGTGCGCAGAATCTAGGTGAGAGTTTATCTATGCCCCCCAAACAAATTTATTCAATCAATCCCATATGGCCCATATGTAAACCCCACTGGAGTCCCATGTTTAAACCTTTTACTGGATTTCCATCTATTGTATCCCCAAGCTAATTCTACAATACGTTCCCTTTTTGATTTCTCAGTATCCGACCGATCAATGACTTATATAAAAGGCTGGTGATGGAGTTCCCAATTCGAGAATCTCATGGTTTGCCAGAACAAGTCTCTAGCTCTTGTATCCAGCAGGCAAATGGTGAATTTGGGTTACCCCATTCCTAAAACGGCTTTTCCATCTTCTGTATCCAGCAAGTAAATGGTGAATTCGGGTGGGTTACGGTAACCTCATATCCAAATTATGTTTTCCATCTTTTGTATCCAGCAGGGAATTGTGAGTTGCCGGTTCCTCCCAGGGTCTCTTGGCACCGCGGTGTGTTGATTTGCTACACACAGCAAGGAACTAGGTTAATGGGACTGGTGCCCATATACGGCCAACCATCCAAATCAACGGCGGTTATTTTTTTCATGAGCTCGTGCATATACTGAATGGGTATATAAAGGCACTACCTTCCAACACCAGTTCAATGGGGTAAATGGGCGACACTGTAAATCAATGTGAATATATATCTGGATTGGCATAATTCTTTGCAATCCCATGGCCAAAACAAGTCTCTAGCTCCTGTATCCAGCAGGTAAATGGTGAATTTGGGTTACCCCATTCCTAAAACGGCTTTTCCATCTTTTGTATCCAGCAAGTAAATGGTGAATTCGGGTGGGTTACGGTAACCTCATATCCAAATTATGTTTTCCATCTTTTGTATCCAGCAGGGAATTGTGAGTTGCCGGTTCCTCCCAGGGTCTCTTGGCACCGCGGTGTGTTGATTTGCTACACACAGCAAGGAACTAGGTTAATGGGACTGGTGCCCATATACGGCCAACCATCCAAATCAACGGCGGTTATTTTTTTCATGAGCTCGTGCATATACTGAATGGGTATATAAAGGCATTACCTTCCAACACCAGTTCAATGGGGTAAATGGGCGACACTGTAAATCAATGTGAATATATATCTGGATTGGCATAATTCTTTGCAATCCCATGGCCAAAACAAGTCTCTAGCTCCTGTATCCAGCAGGTAAATGGTGAATTTGGGTTACCCCATTCCTAAAACGGCTTTTCCATCTTTTGTATCCAGCAAGTAAATGGTGAATTCGGGTGGGTTACGGTAACTTCATATCCAAATTATGTTTTCCATCTTTTGTATCCAGCAGGGAATTGGGAATTGTTGGCCACTTGTATGAATAGCTGAAAAATGTATATATATGTTTTTTGCAAGATCTACAAAAGGATACATGCATATAATACACTAATGTATACATATGTATACATATTATTTGTTCATGTATTTACATCTGTCTACCTATGTATCTATCTATCTTTCTATCAACCTACCTATCTATCTATCTATTATCTATTTAAATAAAATCTATATACACATATGTATACGTGTACGTATCTAAATATTTTTCTGTACATCTATATTTGTATATATATATACGTATACATATGCACATGTACATGTCTAAATGTATTAATGTATTATATATATATATATTTGTGCACAACTCAAAAGTGCCGGTTTCTTGTCAGGGTTTGCTTTTGGATGTGAGGAGAAAGATTCGGAGAATGCAACCAAAGCCATTCAGGCTGTGAACGATGCTTGGGCCGTGCTTCGGGATCAAAAGTCACGGCAGGCATACAACCAGAGAGTGGTGGCAGATGCTTTGTCCGAAGAATCCAAGTTCAAAAAGTCAAAGTCAGTCATTGAGATCGCAGAGAGGTACAAATCACAGGCGGCAGCTAAGGCAGCTGCCAAAGCGGCAGCTAAGGCAGCAGTGAAGGCGAAGGCCAAGAGCAAGGCAGCCGAGGAAGTGCACATGGCATGTGGGAAGGCAAGCAGTTCCTCCAGCAAAGGGCCTGATGCCAGTAAGTCTAGCACAGCTCCATCGGCAAGTTCATCAGGCAAAACACCAAGTTGGGTGTACTGCATGCTGACAGAACAAAAGACTGTGATTGTATGCAAACCTCAGCTCTCCAAGGGTCTGCAACGGAGGTTTGAACATAAAGCTTGGGCTGGTTCTGCCCATGCACTGCGTGTTGCCCGGGAATTCCAAGATTCCTGTGAGACTATGCTGACTAAAACCCTCAGCATGACCAAGTTGGACCAGCTGAAGAACTTTTGCGGAGAGAACGACATCAAAATCCCAAGTGGAACCCGCTTGTCGAAGCATTTTCTCAACGATACCATTGAGCAGGCAAGTTTTGAAGAAACACACGCATGTATGTGTATATATATATGTGTGTGTATGCAGATTTTTGTTAAATGTATATATGCGCAGAAAAATATATATATATATTACACATATATATATGTTGAAGTTTTTCACACAGCTTTGAAAAAAGTAGACTTACAAATGTGGTCAGCACTTTTCCATCTATTGTATCCAGCAAGGTTTCTCGGCTTTTCAAAGCAAAACCAAGACATATTTGGAAACAACAAAGAGACAGTTTTTGGTGGAGGGACATGCTTTTGCCCCTGCCAGGCTTTCTACGCTGGTTCTTGCAAGAGCATCGAGGAGAAGTTGCGGAAGGCCTACCAGAAGTCTACTGGAGCTGATGCGACCACTGAAGGATCAGCAACCATGACCCACGGAATTGTGGTTGACAAGTGCACCAACAAGTTTATGGCAACCTACAAAGTGAGCAAGGAACATGGATCCATTTCCAAGATTTTTGACACACGGCAAGATGCGGAGTTTTGGTTTGACAGCCTGAATGCTTTGATGAAGCAGGGACGTCTTGCTGGCAACCTTTCAGCATTGCGTCAGGCTGCTGCCACTCGGAAAGCTACTGCTGCAGCCATCAACAAAATCATGGAAGAGAACATTTCTTTGGAGCCTGAATCAAGAGATGCATACAAGAGGGAGGTCAAGGAAGGCAAGGACGTCTTCGACAAGATCTTCAAGAAGAGTTCGGGCTCTGGGTTGCGGCGTGCGAGTGTCCACCTTTTCAAAGCATCCTCTGATCAGCTGCAAGAATGTGCCGGGAAAGGCGTGGTGAACGGAGTTCTGTGTGGCTCGTGGCATGCAAGCCTTGGGTGGCGTCCAACGACAATCATTGTTTTCGGGTCGGGCTTTGACAAGGATTCTGCAGACGCTTTTGTGGCGAAGTCGGGATTGACAAAGCTTGGGGTCATTTCCTGCAGTGACAGCCCGAAGCCTAGTGAGGGTGATTTCGCAAAGTTTGCACAGGTTGCCAAAACTTCGGAGTGCAAAAACTGTGTGATGTGGCATTTGGTCCAGGAACGGTTCCAAGTCTCATCCCGCTTCTTCCAGCACAATCCTGACACCAAAGTGCCAGAGGAAGTTTCCATGGAGTTCATTAGTCGCCGTTTGAACGGGGAGGATGTCCGCATTTTGGGTTTGGATGAGAAGGAGAGTGCAGCATCACGAAGCAGGGCAGCAGCAAACTGTCAGCAAATGAGGAAAGACTTTTTTGCTTTTTTCTCACCCACCCACACACAGACACACGCACAGACACACACACACAGACACACACACATATAATATATATATATACATATAGAGAGAGAGAGAGTTGTCTATATATATATATTGATTATATATGGTTGTTTCTCCGCAGTAGGGGGATACAATAGATGGAAAAACGTTTTTCTCTTTTCTGAGGTACGGGAAGCTTTGGCAGCCAAAATCTCCAGGCCAAAGACGCTCAGATTCAGTGTGGGCAAGGTCCCTCCAGACGGCCGCTGTTTCTGGTACTCTTGGTTGGCAAGTGTGCTTTCTGACGAGTGGTGGGCCATTGAGCGCAACAAGACTGGATATGCATTGAACCGCGAGCAGCTCTTGACTGAGGAGAACATGGGGCAGCGCTTGCTGGATGAAGTCATGGACAAGATGATCTCTATTGCATCTACTGATGAGGCGCTGGCCTCGTACGAGGATGTGAAGGACAGGGTTGCTTCAATGTTTCTAGTTATTCTTACCATGCAAGATAGAATGTCAAATTGAGTGCCAGAGAGACTGGCTGTCAGAATAAATGTCAGAATCTATGTCAGCTACAAATACATATATATATATATACGTATATTCAAATTCACATATATATATATAAACACATACATATACATATGCAAATGTAAATATGTATATATATATATATGTACATATATATATATGTGTGTAAAAATATATATGTGTGTAAATATATATATATAAATATATATTTAAAAAAATACATTAAATAAACAAACAGATAAATAAATATATATATATACCAATAGTCATGATGCAATGTGTATACGTATATATATATATAAGTATACCTTGTTTGATAAACTGCAATACGGTTTCTTAAGAGGCACGGGCCAATCCACAAACCCACTAATTGTGCTGGGGGATACAATAGATGGAAAAGCAAAATTCCAAGATTTGGGGGCAATCCTCTGCGCTCTTGCCGGTATTTTTGCCGCCATATGTAGATTGGAAGCCAACCTTGTGTACACCAATAACTTTGCTGAAAGGGACCTGGTAAAATCTAGTTAAATCTCCACCATTTGATGGGGTACAAACTTTAGGTGGGATGGGGTACAATGTAAACATGTACTCCAAACCTTACTACTTACTCCTTACTAATGGGCTGGTGGCGGTTTCAGAAAAGCCTCCTATTGGGCATGAGGCATTCGGAACACAAAAAGTAACGGCCAGTTTATTTGTCCACGTATCCCCCGAATCTGCTGGGGGAAACAATAGATGGAAAAGCGGCTGCGGTCTTCTCACCCGTTCCTGGCAATCAACAGATATATAGATAAAGATCTTTACATTAATACATATTTGGGTTGGGAAGCCACCTTTTCTACCAAAGACCTTGTTTGAAAGGGATCTGGTAAAATGTTCACCGTTTGATGGGGTACAAACATATGGTGCAATAATGTGTATATATATACATATATATATACACATATATATATACATATATATATATATACATATATATATACATACATATATATATATATATATCATTTTACTTAGACAAAGATTGATGGCAATCCCAATGGGTTCAAAGCTGGAGCCTTATATATATATGTATACATAACTGTATATGTATCCAAAAAAAAGGAACCTATGGGCATGGATCATTCCACTCTGATAAACGTTGGGGCTTTCCAATCTTCCAGTAGTGGTTTGAAAGATACCCCTTAATTCTATCTGACCACTAGATCCACCAATCTGCTTGGGGATACAATAGATGGAAAAGGGGATCCAATGGGCCCAAGCGACACCAACGATTGGGTACTTATCATCCATACATACCTATTTATAATGTTTATTTAATAGTCCTTGAAAAGAGGTTCGGCCTTTAGATCCAACAAGCTTCTGGGGTATACAATAGATTAAGATACACATCTACATATATAGATATATACATATATATATATATATGTGTATGCCTACTTGTACGTATATATCTGGAAACGGGGATCTTATGGGTTCAAAAGACACTAGCCCATTGGAACAGTTCCAAAATCCACCGCAAGATTTGGGATACACATGGATCATAAGATGACGTGCTGACTGGGTTCCAAAAGCTTTGGAAAATTCTATACTATTAAGCATTGGGGCACCCCAATTTTTCCAATGGCTGCAAAGATACCCCTTAGTTCTTGACAAGATATTTGACCAATAGATCTACCAATCTGCTGGGGGATACGATAGATGGAAAAGGAAATCCAAATAGCCCCGATCTTACCGAGGGTATCAATCATTTGCTGGTATATGAATAGATACAAATATAGATGGAAACTGGGATATTATGGGCTCAAGGGACACCAACCAATGGGAACATTCCAAAATCATCGCAACATTTGGGATACCAATGGATCATCAGATGAGGGGCCCACTGAGTTCCACAAGCTTTGGGAAATTCCATACTATCTAGCTGGGGCTTTCCAATTTTCCCCACATGGCTGCAAGATATACCCCTTAGTTCCTGAAAGGATATTTTGACCAATAGATCTACCAATCTGCTGGGGGAAACAATAGATGGAAAAGGGGATCCAATGGGTGCCCCCGACATGCCATGCAATGTGCCCAGTTGAAACTACCAGTGGATGTGTATCTTTTGGAAATCAAACATGGCAATTTTGCTTGAATCGGGATATAGTGGGGATGCGCACATTTATGATTGAATAAGACAAGACTTATAAGGTATAAGTGGTTTACATGTTTGTCCACCAATCACCCATATCTGTTGGGGGAAACAATAGATGGAAAAGCGGCTGCGGTCTTCTCACCCGTTCCTGGCAATCAACAGATATATAGATAAAGATCTTTACATTAATACATATTTGGGTTGGGAAGCCACCTTTTCTACCAAAGACCTTGTTTGAAAGGGATCTGGTAAAATGTTCACCGTTTGATGGGGTACAAACATATGGTGCAATAATGTGTGTATATATATACATATATATTATATATATACATATACATATATATATACATATACATATACATATATATATACATATACATATATATATATATATCATTTTACTTAGACAAAGATTGATGGCAATCCCAATGGGTTCAAAGCTGGAGCCTTATATATATATGTATACATAACTGTATATGTATCCAAAAAAAAGGAACCTATGGGCATGGATCATTCCACTCTGTTAAACGTTGGGGCTTTCCAATCTTCCAGTAGTGGTTTGAAAGATACCCCTTAATTCTATCTGACCACTAGATCCACCAATCTGCTTGGGGATACAATAGATGGAAAAGGGGATCCAATGGGCCCAAGCGACACCAACGATTGGGTACTTATCATCCATACATACCTATTTATAATGTTTATTTAATAGTCCTTGAAAAGAGGTTCGGCCTTTAGATCCAACAAGCTTCTGGGGTATACAATAGATTAAGATACACATCTACATATATATATATATACATATACATATATATATATATATATGTGTATGCCTACTTGTACGTATATATCTGGAAACGGGGATCTTATGGGTTCAAAAGACACTAGCCCATTGGAACAGTTCCAAAATCCACCGCAAGATTTGGGATACACATGGATCATAAGATGACGTGCTGACTGGGTTCCAAAAGCTTTGGAAAATTCTATACTATTAAGCATTGGGGCACCCCAATTTTTCCAATGGCTGCAAAGATACCCCTTAGTTCTTGACAAGATATTTGACCAATAGATCTACCAATCTGCTGGGGGATACGATAGATGGAAAAGGAAATCCAAATAGCCCCGATCTTACCGAGGGTATCAATCATTTGCTGGTATATGAATAGATACAAATATAGATGGAAACTGGGATATTATGGGCTCAAGGGACACCAACCAATGGGAACATTCCAAAATCATCGCAACATTTGGGATACCAATGGATCATCAGATGAGGGGCCCACTGAGTTCCACAAGCTTTGGGAAATTCCATACTATCTAGCTGGGGCTTTCCAATTTTCCCCACATGGCTGCAAGATATACCCCTTAGTTCCTGAAAGGATATTTTGACCAATAGATCTACCAATCTGCTGGGGGAAACAATAGATGGAAAAGGGGATCCAATGGGTGCCCCCGACATGCCATGCAATGTGCCCAGTTGAAACTACCAGTGGATGTGTATCTTTTGGAAATCAAACATGGCAATTTTGCTTGAATCGGGATATGGTGGGGATGCGCACATTTATGATTGAATACGGCAAGACTTATAAGGTATAAGTGGTTTACATGTTTGTCCACCAATCACCCATATCTGTTTGGGGATGCAATAGATGGAAAAGGGGTTTCCGTCAAGCCCAATCGCCGGATCCCAATTGGGGAAGGGATTTGATTGGATGCAAAAAAACAAAGCATATATGGTGATTTTGTATTCAAGGGGACATGTTGAATATCCACCAATTCACCACATTTGTTTGGGGACATAAAATCGAAGGCCATATGTATCCAAGGCTACCCATTGGAAAACCACAGGTGCTTTGTTGCTATATGTTGCTATTGTGAATGTGTTTATATTTCCATAAGGGATTGCCTCAATCATGCTGAATCCCTCCAGTGGAGGAGTTTATTGCCCTCTGAAGATTTGAATCAATAGGTTGCTTGGGGATACAATAGATGGAAAAGTGTTCCATATGTCTTTTAAATCAAACATGTTGTTCTTGACGGCAATGTGTTGGATGCATGGGGTCGGTTGACCCAGCCGCGGAGGAGAGCAAGCAAATGACTCTCGATTTGGCCCACGTTGTGGGTCTCGCTTTCGGGTGCCGTTTCCGCATCTCACTCGCCGAGAATGCGCAGAAGGATGATTATCCAGCTGATGCCATGTATGGACAACCAGATGGCCCAGTGGTTGGTGGGAGCCTTACTTTTCCAGAAAAACATCTGTAATTATATATATTATATAGACATACGTTTTTTGATATAAGTAGGTAATATGTGTATATATATATCTTTATATACATATATATATATATACACGTACATATGGAACATCCCCCCATTTGGTTTGCCTTCTATCCTGCACAATCTGAAAATCTTGCAAACCTACATGCTTGGTCCTGCTTGGTGCATTTTATTGCATAATCAGCTAAACCTTCCTTCCTATGTATGGTGATTGCTTTTCATCGCTTAAACCATTCAAGATGAAATTAACAAGGTCAAAGAGTTTAAAATCCATTGGGGTGCCATATAGGCCTATGGGTTTCCTGAAAAGGGTGTTTTCGGTTTTTCAAAACATAACTAGTTTGACTAGGGAGATTTAGGCGGTTTTAAGGAACTATGGCAACTTGATTCTTTCGTTTCCTTTGGTCCCAGGTCACTTCTACTTCCGGTATCTGCAGAAACATGTTGGCCACTTCGATGTCTTGCGTGAAGATGACGGCAAGCTTCGAGGCTATCAGTTGATGGGTTTAAGGCAGTAGTCAGCTGGGGGATAAAACACCAGCCCCAAAAAGCAAGAGGACTCATGCGATGGGTGTTCAAGCAGTTTTGGATCTTAACCGGGACAAGACTGCAAGAGTGGAGAGGATCTATCCAGCCAACCCTCAAAAAGCCAGGGGGTATGGGAAGTAATTTGCTGAGTTTCTACCTATGAAACCACATAAATGGCTGGAGGGTACAATAGATGGAAATCCACCTTAAAGCAATATTAGCATTGGAAATCAACCAAAATCCACGAAAATCCTTGAGAACTTGCAGGCATCTTTAAATTTATACCCATGAAACCACATAAATAGCTGGAGGGTACAATAGATGGAAATCCACAAAAAAACAATATTGGCATGGGAAATGCATAAAAATCCCTGAAAACCTGTGGGCAAATCAAATAATTCAAAGGGTAATCCCATCAAAAGCTGTTTGCGTAAATCCTATATAGATCCAGTTTGGGGCCATGAGATTGGCATGGGAAATCCATGATATACAATACAGGGAAGTAAGACTTTCCAAACAGTTTGTTCAACCCTGGCAGATACCATACAACTTCCAGCAGATGAGCAAGTACAACACTGTATGGAGGTGGAATCTTTTGCTGAAACAATCACAAGCCTTTTGGGCACAAAGGAAATGCCTGGGCCCAGATTCAAAACTTCCGATCTCAATGCCTTCTCTTTCAAGGGTGAAGCTCAAGCAAGTTCAAGTGGGGACCATGGCACAGAGGATGCCAGCAAGAAACCTGATACCCGGTCTTCTATGCAGACAAAAATCTCAGACTTGTTTGACCCCGCTAGTTCCAAACTGGCATTTGATATCATCAAGAAAGGCGTACTACCAAGTTCCTTCTTCGGTGACACGAAGGACAAACCGAAAAAGCAGCCTGACGAGAAAGCCAAACCAAGCAGCCCGACTGAGACTGTGGAGATCAAGCCGAAAACAAGCGACAGTGACTCTACGAAGGCCGAGGACATCGAGATGAAACCGACTGAGGACAAGCCAGAACTGGAACCCACTGAGTTTCAGCCCAAGACCGACCCACAGGATTCTGTTGCCTGCGGACTCTTTGGTGGGGTGGAAGACGAGGGGCCAACTTTTGACACTGACATGGTGGAACCTGACATGGAATCCCTTGAGGCTGTTGAGTCTTTGCTTTGCGTTGCTCCGCCCTGGTGTAACCTCATAGTCACCAAACAGAAGACCTGGGAATTGAGAAGCTATCAAACAAAAGTTAGAAACTTGGTATATGATTAAAATAGATATGTGTTTTCAAATACCGGGTTTGGGCAAACTTTTGCGGGTTAGATTTTCCTCCAAGACTGTATCCCTATGATGTCCCAAGAAAAATTGCCTTTTGGTCTTTTTTTTGCGGGCATTTTTTTTACTTCTTGGTCCATGACAAACCAACAAGAAAATGACAGCTGTACCTTGCTTTTCCTGCATATACACATATATATAATATACATATATATATAATATATATATGTGTGTGTGTTTGTGTGTGTGTGTCATAGGGTTTTTCTGCTCCTGCCCACTTTGGCTGTGTTGGATTTTTACTTAGGAGGGCGGGTTGGCCTCTGGCAAAAGGGGACCAATTCCATCATTGGACTTGCCACCATCACAGACTGCCAGCCCTTTGACAAGTCGACGAAGGAGGACACCTTTCATCTGCACCAAGTTCCTGCTGACAAGTACCTTGATAGTTGTACTTAACATTTTGTATATATATATAATATTCCTTCCATCACCTAAAGATTCTGATTCTGAGCTCTGCCTTTCCCTTCTATGGGGATACAATAGATGGAAAAGTTAGAAATATATCTACTTTGCCCTGGCTGATGGGACGGTTCTGGATTATATTTACTTTATATATTAATATATGTAAATATGTGCGCGTGCCTTCTGGAAGGATTTTCTGGATGGGGAAAAAAGGAATGACATCAGTCTCTGTTTGATAGAATTACCGAGGTTTGAGATGGACTTTTTGCAGCCGGACCTTTTCGCATGGGTGATGAGTGATGCTGTGATCTTTGAAGATCCCATACTGTTCCAGCCTACTCGAGGTTGTCAAATTTTCATGCAGGTTAACAAAGCATTCTGGCAAAAGGTGCTAGCATCTGAGCCTACATCTACACCCTCTTCCCTTCTCCTCATGACACTGGGGGCAGAGGAAACCGAAAGCATTGTGACAGGGGAGCAGCAATACCTACTACGATCTCAGCGGGTCCCGGTCAAACAAGGAAAGATCCACCTAGCTGTGAAATCACTTGGGTTCTGTGTTCCTGGAAGTGTGGAGTTTGAATCTATTCAGGAGTTCACATCTTTGCAACGCTTCAAGAAGTGGGACGGGCTCAGCGACTGCAATCCCAATGACACCATCACAGGTGGAAGCATCATGAAACGCCTTCAAGAGGGGAAATCAGTTTTTGCAGTGAAATTGGCAAACCCTGAAAAGTTCATCGAGTGCTTAGAATGGTTTTCCTCAGTTTCTTTGACTTTGTTTAGCGCCTCAAGCTTTGGTGATGATCATTTTGTCTTGTTAGCCACAGAAACTGTACTTGTATACATATACATATATACATATATGTAATATACCGATTTATTTTCACATAAAACAAATATGAGTATATATATATATAGCTATATAGCTGGCAACCTGGTGGTACCCTGGTAGACACAAAAGATGGAAATATGCCACGATCGCTTTCAGCAACCATCTGAGGCCAGAAGTTTGTGCCCGAAAGTGCGACCCGTGAGCGCGGATGAGTTCAAGCCTGTCATCAAGTATCTTGGTTGCACCGTGTACAGACTTTAAGTCTCCGGTTTTTGTACCCCAAGCACTGTCTATCTATATCTACAAGAATATATGAGTCATGTTTGTTTTTTCCATCGGGAAACAGCAAAGGTTGCCCAAAGAACTACAGTGGCTATGTGGGAAAAAACCAAAACAATCCTTGCAACAAACCGCCCACTACTTTTTGGATCTTCTCAGCCCTGATGAGTACAACAAGCTTCAACAGGTTTGTGGGACCCTAAGCCAGGCCAGAAGACCAATTCTAGTTGGTACTACCTGCAGTGGGTTGGAAACGGGTGGTATGGCTATTGAAAAACTGTTTGATGCCCTGAACGAACGGTTTGGGACTCAATTGAGTGCAAGGGTTGCCTTCGCGGCTGAACTCCACGAGGACTGGGTTAACAACATCCCAAATTTGGGCACGGTAGATTTTCATCCCAATGCAAATGATATATATATACATGTATATATATATCAGTTATTGTTCTTGAACAGTATATATAACTGCATATATATAGATATAGATAGATAGAAAACACCTCAAAAGGAATTCATATACATCTTTTTTTGGGGGGAAACATACTTTTCCATCTATTGTATCCACCAACTATTTACAACACCTGTTCAATGTCTGAAAAAGTTTTGATTAGGGGCAAACCCGCCCAAAACTTGAATGTGTTCCTCCATTTTTAAAGGAGAAGCGCAACTTCATCGCCAGAGCTCATGCTGGGAAAGTTGATCACCTTTTCTCTGATGTAAAGGATCTGTCTGATGGAAAGGGGTACTGTGATATCCACGGATGCGAATGCTCTGTGCCGAGGGTTGATGTGGTGATATCAGGGACCGCTTGTACTTCAATCAGTGGGGAGCGCGTGGATAAAGCAGAATATGCGGATTGTTTTTCCACTGGTTTGGGGGCTTCAGGCATTACGTACCAGCATGGCTACAGGAACATGATTTCCATGACAAAAGCACTGGTATCATTCTACGAGAATGTGAAGACAGTAGCTGAGCGTATCTTGGCTTGAACGGCAGAAACCGGCAGGCCCATGTGAGCAATGTCAAAAACCAACCACTGCCCTTCAACTTTCACATTGTGGGTGTACATGCTGCGTACATATACCAATATATATATATATATTTCTTTTTATCCTGTACATATAAGAACACGTTTCGATGGCACAAGGGTTTTTGACATTGGCCGTTTGCCAGCTGATAGGGCTGTGTGGGCTTGTGCCACGCATTCCATTGATGGGGCAACAAGCTTTTCCATCTATTGTATCTACCAAGGAAATTCTGCTTTTAGCTTTGTGGGCGTGCCATATATGATCCACATATGACCCCAGTAGGAAATCGAAAGTTTGCTCCACAAACCATTTGGTTATATTTGTGTACATATAGATGGATACATATATATATATAATACACATATACCCTCTTTTGGGGAAGATGATGGCCCGTCTTTGGGATTATAATTCACAAATCGGCTCAATGGGGAGAGTGGCCAGCTGACAAGGCTTACATAATGGGTGTGTACCAAACAGTTTCCCAATGGGAAAAATCTGCAAATGATTTGAACATGGTATTGCGGTCCATGTAAGAGGTGGTTTTCCATCTATTGTATCCAGCAAGGAACTTGAAGAACATTCTCCAGTCGATAGTAACTTACCTTGCTTGATTTCCAGGGAGCATACCACAAATTCTTTTCCTGTTACAATCTCATATACATGCCTATGAATGGTCCGATTCTGGGGTGTATGTGTATGTTATTCAATTCAATGTGTACAAGTTCAAATTCATCGCATTCAAAAAACTTTATGGAATGGTCACCAACCTTGAAACTTGTATCCCCACCACAGGCGGTCCCAAAGGCTCAAGTTGTCCTCACAGCTTTCACCTAAGCCACGCGCCATGTCAGATCTTGTTTTCTCCATGTTGCTTTTCTATGTGGCAATTTGCTTCGCGAGGGACGCATACAGATGTTTTTATTTCGCTATCAACATCTCTACCCGGACCCAGAACAAAGCCAAGACCAAGACCCAGTTCGAGCCAGAAGGGAGCCCATCTTCATCAAGGACCTCGAAGCCCCGCTTGGACACGGACCAGGTGGAAGATCTGAGCTTTGTGTATCAAGCATCCAGGGTAAACAAGGCCTTTGTGGGTGAAAAGACAGAGCCATATATATATATATATATG